TGCTTTCCCGGGCGGATGGCAAACTCCTCGTCCTCCCCACGGGCATGGGTTTCATCAAACAAAAACCAGCTTGTTTCTTGGGGCAGAGTTCCCGAATTAGCACGCGATCCCTCTTACGTTGTCGCGTCACAGAATTGCGATTATTCAAAAGCTGAGAAAACTGCGATATTTTATTACCGTTGTAAATACCGACGTGACCTTACGGTAAAAGAAAAAGACATTCTTCTAGGAGGATCGTGAACCAAAGTAATTCAAGAAATGCCTTTTCTTCTGTTTGTTAGCTGTAATATGCAGGCAGTGCCTAGAACAAATATATGTATTTGTTTAAACCGCTCCAATTTGTTTTTTTGCTTTCCCAAATTGCACCCTTGAGGTTTAGATCTGGCCAAATCCCACTCGCTTTATTGAAACTGATGGGCTAAATTTACATGGAGCTAATCTAGGAAGTAAAATGTTCGGGCTTTGGCTTCAGTCTACATTTGAACTGAAAGAAGACAACATTTTGGGGGGGGGGGGGTTCTTCTTTGTTTTTATTGTTCTTGGTTTATTTGTTTTATGCTGCTTCCTGCTTTTTAAGGCAAAGGACCAAATATTACTGCTAAAAAGGCAAAAAAAAAAAAAAAAAGAAAACTTGTTATATTTTGACCTGTTTAATTTTCCCCTCACACACTTGTGGTTTCTGTTTCTTCCAGTTCTTCCTTTGTTCGGTCTATGTCCCGATGTGCACGGAGAAGATTAACATCCCCATAGGTCCCTGCGGTGGCATGTGCCTCTCTGTCAAAAGAAGGTGCGAACCGGTTTTAAAAGAATTTGGATTTGCCTGGCCAGACAGCCTAAACTGCAGCAAATTCCCACCCCAGAATGATCACAACCACATGTGCATGGAGGGCCCAGGAGACGAAGAGGTTCCCCTTCACAGCAAGACCTCCTTGCAGCCTGGAGAGGAGTGCCACAGCATGGGATCTAACTCGGATCAGTACATCTGGGTGAAGAGAAGCTTGAACTGCGTCCTGAAGTGCGGCTACGACGCTGGTCTCTACAGCAGGTCAGCTAAGGAATTCACAGATATCTGGATGGCCGTGTGGGCCAGTCTTTGCTTCATCTCAACTGCCTTCACGGTCCTGACCTTCCTGATTGATTCATCCAGATTTTCCTACCCGGAGCGCCCAATCATATTTTTGAGCATGTGCTACAATATTTATAGCATTGCTTATATTGTGAGGCTAACTGTGGGCCGGGAAAGGATATCCTGTGATTTTGAAGAGGCAGCAGAACCTGTTCTTATCCAAGAAGGTCTTAAGAACACAGGATGTGCTATAATTTTCTTGCTGATGTATTTTTTCGGGATGGCTAGCTCCATCTGGTGGGTTATTCTGACACTGACGTGGTTTCTGGCTGCAGGACTCAAGTGGGGCCATGAAGCTATAGAAATGCACAGCTCTTATTTCCATATCGCAGCCTGGGCTATCCCCGCAGTGAAGACCATCGTCATTTTGATTATGAGACTAGTAGATGCAGATGAGCTCACCGGTCTGTGCTACGTTGGGAACCAGAACCTAGATGCGCTGACGGGCTTTGTCGTCGCTCCGCTTTTTACCTACCTGGTCATTGGGACTTTATTCATTGCAGCAGGACTCGTGGCCTTATTTAAAATCAGGTCTAATCTTCAGAAAGATGGAACTAAAACCGACAAACTGGAAAGGCTGATGGTCAAAATCGGTGTCTTTTCAGTGCTGTACACCGTCCCAGCAACGTGTGTCATTGCCTGTTATTTCTACGAAATCTCCAACTGGGCCATTTTCCGCTATTCGGCAGATGATTCCAACATGGCAGTGGAGATGCTCAAAATCTTCATGTCCCTCCTGGTGGGTATTACGTCAGGTATGTGGATCTGGTCAGCCAAAACTCTGCACACGTGGCAGAAGTGCTCAAACAGACTGGTGAACTCAGGGAAAGTGAAACGGGAGAAGAGAGCAGATGGTTGGGTGAAACCTGGGAAAGGGAACGAGACCGTGGTATGAGAAAAGGACGACACCCCAGTGGTCTGTCTGCTCTCCTGTGAAGGACTGATCATGTGTAAGCATTGCCGTGGAAATGTTGGGAGTAGGGAGACGGTTACACAGCCTGTCTCTGGGGGATGGAGAAAAAAGCCTTAAAGAATAAACAGCAACAAGATCATGCTGCAGATACAATAGCCATAAACTATGCTGCCCAAAATAGGAAAGCCCAGGGAGGCTTTAAAAGCTGTGAAATATCCAAACACCTTACACCTTATTTTCCTTTTTTTTTTTTTTTTTAAAGCAGGATGCAATATACTGAAGTCTTTAGAAGCTGAGGGACTGTAGCCCACAGCTGTGGGATGTTGTTTTCTTTTCATTGTCTTATAGCTGATGGACAAAAGGTGGTCCGGGGCCAAATTCTGGGCTGATTTAGGGTCCAGTTAGCAGCAGATGGAGCACCCAGGACCTCAGTTAGACGTCTTCCTTACAAGTTCAGCATCGTGAAGGAAGCGCCTGCCGAGGGTTGTGTCTGTATGCCCTGAGGAATTCTGTTGCTCCCATACGCTACTTAAGTCAGCTGAGGATCAGGTCCTCTGGCAAAGACCAAGTGGACTTTCCAGGTCTGAGAGTTACCCATGATAAGTAGGATTTAGGGAGGTATTAGTGAAAATGATTCTTTAAGTCATCTGATGGTCTAATAATAATTTTGACTCATTTACTCTCTGCAACCTGGTCTGAACTGAGAGTTGACTCTGCCTCGGGCAGGAATTTGGACCTCCCTAGGTCCCTTCCCACTGAATTATTCTGTGGTTCAATCAATATTTCTAATTTTTTAAAAGCTTTACTCAAGGCCATTGTCAGAAGTAGAGGAGTCAGTGGGAGCTGGGAAACTGTATATGGTCTTGTGCAACGATTATTGTTATCTGCCTGCCTCCGTTCCTGTCCCTTCAGGTGCTCCTGCTCTTCCCAGCGGACTACTTTATTCTGCTGCATTTAATAGCTTTAAATAAAGTCTTACATTATAGTGTTCTTTCCTCCAGGAAAGAGAAAAATAAGTTGAGGGTCTCTTCAAACAATGCCAGTTTTCTCCAAATAAACTTATCTGGCTCTCTCTGGAGACCCATTGCATGAAGCAATTAAGTCTTAATATATTTCATTCAGTGCGATGGTATCTCTGTAGACGCCAGTCTGGGGAGAAGTGAAATGTTAAGTTCCTTGGCAACCTCATGTTCACACAGATCAGTTGTATAATTATGCGTGTCAGTTACAATTAAAAGAACATTCTCAGCCCATGACATCGCAGCACAGCTGACTGCCTCACGAGGATGCTCCAATTGCTCACTGACAGCTATGGAGATTTTTTTTTTTTAACCTATATTTACATGCAGAATGTGAGCGGGCATTCAGTCCTCAGGAACAACAGGAGACATTTCCAGTTTTTGTAAAGGGATCTCAAGAGAAGAGATCCAGCTTCTTGGTGAATAATGTTGTTTCACAGCAATTTTCAAGTTTTCTTATCCTTGTATTTGAGGGGGCAGCAGCTTGTGCTCGTGGGCAGCTCGAACCTTGTGTCAGGGGCTTCTTTGGCTAATAAGAAAGGTGATGCAAACAGAAATAGCCCGGAAGTACTTAAGAGAACACTGTTCTGATATTCTATCCTTTTGAAGGACCTTTGTGCCCTAAACTTTTGCTCAATTTGTTTGCGTGGAACGTGGTCAGCTGCGGAGCATCCCCCCACCGGTGCCTGGACTCGCACGACCTTCGAGGGCAGCTGAGAACAGGCACTGCTTTATTATAGCCCTCACTTCTCGTACAGGTGCCCCATGTGCTTCCCAAACCACAATTCATTCCAGCTCTGGCCATGAGCACTAATCTGTCCCAGAAGCGTGTATTGTTTCAATGTCAATGTTGAAACATGTGCTAGAGCACATTTTTAAAAAAAAAAAAACCCAAACCCCAAACAAACCCTAATTGCAGTCTCTGCGGTTGGACTCCCTCTCCAGCAGAACAAGTGACAACTTGACACATTCTGCTCAAGACACACAAGCGTTGTCTTGGCCAATGCTGCATACCAGCCAAGCCTTTTCATCCTCTCCATAAAGTCTCTCGCTATTAGTGTTGTGTTTGGATCTGGTTATTTCTCCGTGGACAAGGAGTTTTGCAAGTAGGAAATCTTCAGATGGCCAAGTTTCTCCATCGTGCAGTGTTTCTCCTGGCGCAGCAAGGGATGTAAAGTCAGCAGCTATATGTTGATTTTCAAGGGGCGAGGATGCAGTAGAAGCCTTGTCTTTTAACCTGGTATCGGGCTGTGCCAAGGTGTCACGTTCGCTCAAGTGTCCTTCGTTCTGAAATGGTTTGGATACTCTCCTGGCCGACCTGACCCATGTTTGACCTGACTGGTTCAATAAATGGTGTTTTTAACCATGTTATGTACACAGAAGTGAATGTTAAGTAGTCCCTTGTTATCAGATGCCTGCATCGCTGCCTGCGACCCCGTGGACTGTGACAGATGTGTCCCCGGTGATTTGAGGTGTTGGAAGTGAGTCGGATGAGCATAGCACTGCACAGCGTGACAAGGGACCCGGAGGGGGGATATTCAAATCCTATGGGGAGGAGATGGGCTGGGGAGAGACAGCAGCTGCTGTTCCTGAAGAAACATCTTTCCCAAGCATTCAGGGGGACATTGTACGAACCCAAAGCGAAATTAGCTGTTACAGCAATGAAACCATTCCATAAATTTATTCCTCCACGTGCATTTACCTTGCTCCGCTTCAGGGCTGTATGAGTGGGAAGTCACAGCAGACAGCCTAAAACCTGGCGGTTGTGAAGAGTGGGTATCTGCAACTCGTATGTTCTCTGTTTCAATATTGTTATGAATTTAAAGCCAAAAAACGTGTGACTGCTCCTGTCTCGGAAGTGCACTGGCTGCAGTTGTACAACTAGCAACTTTGCAGCAGTTCCCTTCCTTGTGCAGGCCCTGCTCCCTTCTCCCTGCCCCAGCGTGTGCTCTCCTCACTGCAGGTTTTGGAAGCATCTGCTGGAGAGGTACAAGCTTAGCTCTTACGTTAAACAGGCAAGTTAGCTCCTTTTTCTGAATTTTAAGGAAATAGACACTGATTATTTTGGGGTGTACAGAAAATATATCTACTTTGATGTATGTACTGTAAATTTCTAATTTATCACTGTAAAAAAACCCATAAACTTTGCTATTTAATTTTTATATCAAAATAAAATTTTAACCTCTGTGGATAACTAAGGTATTCCTGGCAACCCTCAAGTTTTTGGTGAGTTTGTTTCTTGAATTGGCTTCGTCACTCTTGCAAATGCTTTTTTTCCCCTGAAGGAAGAAGGACTGAAATGCTCACGCTGCAGTGGGTTAATCCAGCATGGTTTGGTTCTAAGTGTGGGTTGCGAGAAATAACTGGGAACAAAACATCATTGGGCAACAGTGAAAATACGTGCATGCTTCAGTGCGTGCACGCGGTGTGGACAGAAACCCTTTCACAGTCGGCACGCAGGTCCCAGGCGCTGGCTGGGGAAGCAGCTGGAGCTTTGGGCTTGCCTAAGCATGCCCCCAAAACCACAAGGGAGTGCAAAGATGGAAACACAACCATCCGCTGCTGTAACACTGCTGTGGTGGGGCGCCTGGGGAGAGCAGAGCCTCCTGTAAGGCTCCTTTTTATTTCACGTAATATGGAATATGCGCATCCAAAGATGCACTGAGCATTCAGATCTGGGGCGTATGGTGGAGGGGGATGGCGTAATCACCTGCCTGTTGAGTATATGAGAACTACTTGTGGCTTTTGGAAGGGGCAACTTCTGCTCTTGAAATGGGCTCACTCCTAGGGGTAATTTCAGCCCTTCAGAGAACAGATTCAGTCGATTGTCTACATTTTCTTGCAATGTGAGGGTTTTTAAAATTAAGCTTATTAATGGTCCGCTTCTATTTCATTCCTTTTTATCATTTCTGTTCACAGTTAGGATGTACGGTAGCAGCGAGGGGTTCCTTCTTTTTGTGTACGTCCCGCACCAATTTCTCTGACACCAATAGTACAGTTTGTGATATTAGTCATCATCTAAACACACTTAATCATCTCCATCATGAAGCATTCTGTGTGCAGGATTACTTAATTAGCATAATATTAATCTAACAAGAACATAAATCAGACTAGAGTGGGTAATAGTGAGGACGCGCTATGAAGACAGTAGGAATTAACACCTGTGTATCTGTAGCTAATCAAGTTTTGAAGAGCAGCATCTAAACCTGGTAATTAGAGTGATTTGTACATGCCTTTGGCAGCTCATCACCGTAATGTTCTTAGGTTGGTGATTAATGGGATCACTGACTTGAAACTTGTAATTAGGAGTCTTTAATATAGCTACAGTTAATCATAACAAACATAAAAGAGCTTCTGGGGGAGGGTGGAGGATCTCCTCTTGTTGTTGGGGCTGTTCACGCCACCAGAGAAACTCAGGCATAGCGTTCGAGATGGCATTGGCTGTGCCAGGTCTCTCTGATGGCCACTTGCCCATATGCACGTCCCCCACATCGGGCATCTCAGATCGTCAGCTGTGAAGTGACAGTGGATTGCTGAGTGGCTCCGATCAGGGGACAGCCTCCCGAGCCACTGGGATGGCAAAGCAGCCCATGTTTGCCTACGGAGGGGAGCATGTGGCTGCATACCAAACTCACAAAAAGTAGCCCTTAGCAGGACTTAGCCTTTATCAGGACTGTTTGTTTAATTGGTTATGTCTTGGGGTTTTTTTAAAGCTGTCTTTAAAGAGAGCAAATGTTAAGGAGTTCATAGTGAAGGAGACCAGAGTTCTGCTGCCAGAGAATCCTAAGCTCCAGTAATGCAAAAATGTGGTATCATGAGACCCTGGCTTCGGTGGTGGAGTTTCCGCCACACCCTCTCTGTCCTCAGCCTCTCGTTCCCATAACTGCATTGCATTTCAGCTCCTCCTTCATTTTGCCAGTGCAACTATTTGCGGCGCTGAGCTGCGAAGAAGATCAGCAAAAAGATCCGGGTTAAAAATGACCATCAGTTTTCGTTTTCTTTTGTGCTGGAGGTTTATGTTTAACTTGGATCATGTCAGTGATCTGATTTATGCAGCGGCTCCACCAAGAGCTGTGCTGGCACAGCCAGGCAGCACGGACTGCCGGAGGGAGCAGGGGTCT